CTGCTCATGCGCTGGTTCAAGCTGACGGTAGAGACCTTCGAAAGCACGACGAACCCGCCCAACGGCTCTTTTGTCGTGATGACGCGCAAGGAGGGGCCGAGGGGAGGACGCTCCGGGGGGGGAGTCTACGAAATGGCGCCCGAATCGGCTGCCTTGATCTCGTTAAGGTAGGGCGTGGGTGTGAAGGAGGGTGATAGGGTGAGTGAGGATAGTGTTTGCAACTTGGGGGGGTAATTGGTCGGGCGTGCTGCCTATCAACTCCTTTCTTTCCGGTTCCATCTCCTACAGCTGTGACTCCGTGCCCGTGGGCGCCTCCATCATGACCCCGTGCAGCAATTTCGAGGACAACACCGGCGGAGAGCAAAAGGATGGGGGAGAGGAAAGGGTAATGACACCTCTGTCGAATGCCGTTGAGCGACTCTCAATCGACGCCAATGGGATTTCCGAGGCTGAAGCCAGACCTAGTTAATAATAAGGCGTTGATGACAAAATCTGCAAATGAAAAGTACACATTCGATCACATATTCGATCATGGAATGAACTTAAGTCTCGCTCTCAAACGACGAGATGTTCCGGTGTCAATACTTTCGTCATTTATTACTTTTTGACATCGTTACCTCCTGTCCCCACTGCACCCCGCAATCGCTTCTCCAGCGCCTTCTGCCGTCGACGTTCTTCCTCCGCCTCCTCCCGCATCACAATGTGATGATGGAATCTGACAATGGGAAGACAACAGGTGAAATGTTTCTCGTCATATTTTTACATCTTCCCCTCATCTGAAACCCCCTTTACCCGATCTCATTCCTTGCGGAGACGTCGGGTTACATCAACTCTCTAACGCCGCTCATTCCTCTTCTTGAGATACATTTGATTTCATGTAGTTAACTCCGTGCTTACTTCTGTTACTGACCTGTCCCTCAGCACCCATGCTCCATAGAGGGCAAACACGCCGACAACAGGAACCACTTGCTTCCACGGCGGGGGCATTACTTCCACTCAGCTGTACCGAATAAATCAGGGAAGTTGAGGAAAAATCAAATGTGGGAGAGAGGTGATCGACTGTGTTATGTACATCGCTGTCAGCAAAGGGAATTGTCTGTCAAAACCTTTTTCGACACAAGTCGACGTCAAGGAATGGCGCGATAGTTTTGAAGGCGAATTAAGCGAATGGAACCACAGGAGACATCAAATAGGTTCGATGCTCTCTTTCTCCGAGGAATTATCCAGCCGCCGTGTGCTCGTGACACGTTTCTGCCGCGTTCATCCCTGAATTTGTATGCATGAAACTTATTGAGCATACATTGTGATCCTACGTGCGATAAGTTCTCCTCGCACGGTAAGACTTGAAAATGTTTTGGTGCTTACGCTTAACCTCCCCACCCCACTTGCAGTCAACGTACCCGTTAAAGCGATCTCATTGGAATGCGCTGGTGGCACCGTTTACTCACTTACTTGAGCAGCAGGCGACGAAACACTACCTCACACTGTAGTTATATGACACAGGAGCAGTCACCCCTTTCACCCTCCATTTCCATTCCGGCTTTTGTGCTTCAAGAGCGAGGCATTTTATCGCCGGCCAAGCCCCCTCCTTTGGAAAGCCAATCTATGAATTTTGATGAAAGAAAATCCAATTACGAAGAATGTGACAAAGAAACTTCAGGAACTAGAGAGGAGATTTCAGATGGAACTTTATCGTCGGTGGAAGGAGAGCAGGCACAGAACAGCACTGGTGTTCCGTTACGCGCTCCTTCCTTTTCCACAACTCCAAGCGTCCATTCAGTCATGTCAGACATCCGAAGCCGCCTACACCACCTTCCCAGATGGAAATACAGATTTCTATGCGCAAGCTTGTTGTTGGCTGTCATCCTTTTGGGTCTACTTCTCTGCGTATCGATTGTGTACGGCTTCGGCTTGAAATACGTCCATTTGTCCGTCACCGGAACGACGCCGCTGGATCCAAACTTAGTAGATGCGGAAGGAAATGCGCCAATGCGAGCAACCATCAGTCTTGACAATCCCAATTCTTTCCCTATCACCGCCTCAGCAAGTGAAGTAGTTCTATCATACATGAATAGGACCGACGGGAGTCAACAGTACACTCCCCTGGCATCCGCCCCTCTGCCCCGCATTCAACTGCATGCCCGTCACAAAGATTGCATGCTTACCACTGATTTTGTCTTGGCGCATTTGCCCACAAAGCCTGAGGGAAAAGCAATCATGGGGGCGGTCCTCCAGGGCCGGGCCACATTCCTTAATGCGGCCGCCACCCTGCGGCTCCACGTGCGCGCCTTGGGCTTCATACGGATTGTCCGCAGGTTCGAAATAGACTGTTCTGTCGCAACGTTATGGGGGGAGCCAACTAAGGCAGATGGTAGCAAAGACACGGTCTCGGATTGCTTTGGGGCTTTTGTGTAGAGCCACATTGAAGAAACATTAGAGCTCCTCAGACGGCTCAATGAAAAGTAATGTAAATCGGCCTTATGAAGCGTACTTTAACTTTAATCTTGTCTGACCCACAATGGGCCTCGCTTCATGCTTCCACCGCTAATTCCTCCACCCCCGCCTCGTTTCCCCCCTCGCCTTCGTCTCCCCCTACCCCCTCCCCCGCCCCCTCCTCACCATGCGCCCCCCTTTCCCCCTCCCACTCTCTTCTTTCACCGTCTGCGCTCCCTAAATGAGCCGCCCAGTACCTCAAGCGTCGTCGCTGTTTGGCTGCCCCACCCCCTTCCGCCGCCGCCCCCTCCGCTTCCTCCCCTATGGACAGCGCATACTCCCGCAACACGTCCCCTACCTCCTCCAGACCCTCCCTCCCTTCCATTTTCATCCTCTTCCTCAAGCGTCCCTGACCCTCCAAGGACCGGCTGTATACAAATCCGAGGATCACAGCCACACGCTGCAACATGAACAGGCCCGCGTCCATCAGCCGCGCCATTCGCCGCTCCCCCTTCTCCTCCGCGGTCTCCCCCTGCTCCCCCAGCCCCTCCTCCCAGTCGCCCGCTCCTTCGTCATTCAGGCGCAGGCGGGCGCGTCTCACCTACGGGGTGGGAAAAAGGAGGAGAATGGAGAAGGAGACCAGGAATGAGGGTAGATGTGTGTCCAATCTCTTTCGGTGAATATCTCAAGGAAGCAATCACGTAACCCCGCATCATCCATCGGACAGAGGGTCGGAGAGGCGATACTCAGTTCCGTCCTCATGCTTCCGCCCTTCCTCCCCGCCCCCCAACCTTCCTCCTCCTCCCAACCCTTCCTCCCCTCCCTCACCTTCTCCTGGTACTTGATGAAGAGCTCGACAGCGCGATCCACCTTCTCACCGCCCCCTTCCACAAATTTGCCCAACAGGCGCGCCTCCTCCACCTCGTGCTTCCTCAACCCCTCCTTCCCTCCCTCGCCTCCTCCATCTTCGGCGAAAACCATCAAATGTAAGCTCAGGGAGGCAATCAAGCTGACCACCTGTGAGACGAGGTCAAGGGTCAGCGTGACTGCGTAGAGTCCCCTCGAAGCGAAAAGAGAAGAACAAGCACACAGCTAGGCCAGACGAGGAGAAGAAAGAAGGGTTACGAACCTGCTCGGTCAACGCCTCCCTCTCTCCCGGCCGCTTGCCTTTCAGGGCCACGCCCCAGCCGCGGCCCATATAGAGGGGAAAGAGCGTCTTGAGCCCCCCTAGTTCGATCAACTTTTCGCAGTTGGGGACCTGGGGAAGTGAGGAACACGGGTGTCAGAGAGGATTGGTCAGACGGCCGCCACGGCAGTTCCGCGCGTCGGAGAAAGAATCGGCACTCCCTGTACCTCCCTGGTGCCCCCGCGAGGGATGAGAGCGAAGAGGACGCACCGAGTTTAGACAGGCCGAGTCCAGCGCCTTGAGCGCGCCCAAGAAGCCTCCCTTCTTCTCCCTAATACAGCGAAGCAGCAGGTCAAGGCCTTCGCTCTGGCGAGCAGAAATGCAGCGTGATGCGCGTCAACGTGGAAAGAGGGGGTGAAAAGGGAATGAGTGCAAGGGTTGAGACAGAGCAGTCTCCCAATACGTGAAAGGGTTGAGACAGAGCACAGCAGTCTCTCGACCTAGAAATAGGTTGTTCCCCCACGCACCTGCCGAAAGCGCGCTTGATTCTCGGGCAGCAGCAGGCACGAGCAAAGGGCGTCGAAGAGGTTCTCAATGCACTCCTTCTCTTCGGGACAGGACGCGTCCCGCCGACGGTAGTAGGCAATCGCTGGACGAAATGGAGTGATGTCAGGGAGACGCAAGTGGAGGAGACGTGGGTTGAAAGGGCCCTGCCCCGAGCCAAAGGCCACGCAATTCGTTCATGATCTCCCTCAAGTCGAAGACAGCAGCAAATATGAAGGGGGTCGTGCAAGAGGATGGCTCTTACCTTGCAGCAGCGTATCCATGCCGTTGATGTCAGCCAGCTGACCCAGGCGCCTCTGATTCTCCGTGTCTGCAGCCAGCAGAATGGAGAGGAGCTCCGCGCAGTAGGCCTGTCAAGCCCGGGGGTGCGAGCGAGGAGGGAACAGGGGCGACACGAGGACCGGGGGTGGAGTATGTGAGGAGCGGGGAAGGCGGAAGAAGACGACAGAGAAGGAGTGAGAGCGAGGGAGGAGGAGAGTAACCTTGACGTCGTCGAACCGCTTGGCCTTGACGCGCGTGAGGAGCACACGCAGGAAAGATGTCTTCTCGCAGATCAAGGGGGCGAGGGAGGGGCGGACAGTAACCAGGTTCTCGATGAGCTGGAAGTGGGCGGAAGCAGAGAAAGAGTAGATTGAGAACAAGAGGAGCGAGGGGGAAGGAAGCCAGAGTCCCGCCCTCCCCCCCCCCCCCTCACCACCCGTCCCCACCTGCAGCGTGTAGTTCACGCCCCTCACGTCCTCCTCCCTGCTTTCGTCCAGGCGCTTCAGGTTCTGCACCACCAACTCCAGCCCATTCTTCTCCACCAGGGCGTCCAGCAGGGTCCCGGCCTCCTTCTCCGCCTCCAGGACCACGTCCGGGTCTGTCATCTCGGCCAGGCAGCCCAGCATGCTGATACTGTGCGACAGCCGACCGCAAGCACGCGCGCCGGAGGGGAGCATGACGTGATTTCAGCCAAAATATGGTACACGACGGACAGTTACATAGTCGAGGAAATGAGTGCGTGCGTCTGTCTGACAGGGAAAAGCTGCCTAGACGAAGAACCTTCCCCCCCACATCCACACACAGCCTCGACCTCGATCAGGCTCAAGACTGAGCATTCAGAGGCGAAGGACAGAAAAAAGGGGACTTAAAAGCAGACCTGATGTCGGTATTTTCGTGCGTGACCAGCCCCAGCAGCGTGTTTGCCACGTCCAGCTTTACCAGCTCGGGGTACAGGGAGGGGGCGGCGGCAACCGCCTATTCAAGAAATGGAGTGGAAGGAAACATGATTGTGTCTGGATGTGGGCGGATATACGGAGCATGGAGGGTGCGAGGCCGGGGACACGGCCCATGTGTAGAGAGGAAGGCCTTTACCTTGAACTGCCCGATCTCCTCATAGAGCTCCAGCTCGGACTCCAGGAATTTCGCGGGCTCGTCGGCGAACTTGACGCGCTTCAATAGATTTGCCTAGGGTGGGCGACGACATGAAGAAGAGCAGTGTGAGGGGAGTGAAAGAGAGAGCCGCTAGGGACGGGGCACCTGGGGCATATCGGGGCTGCGCTCTGCCTCTGGCTAGACCCTCACCCTCGCCCACCTGAATCCGCCTTTCCAGGCCCAAGAACAATTTCTTCACGCCGGGTAGGTCTAGCTCGACCACGTCCTGCTGCTTGTCCGCCACTTGGAGGATCCGCTGGCAGGGGCCCAAAAGGAGGGCCGAAGCACGTGAAAAGGAGGGTCAGGGCGTACCGGAGACGGCATCTGAATCTTCCCCCACCCTGCGTACCTTGATTGTTTCCTCGTCTATGTCATCGCTTTCTAAAGCTTTCCGCAAGAAAGCCTCCTCGTCCTCTCCTTCCTCCCGGTCAGCCTCATCCTCCTTTTCCCCTGCGCCCCCCCCCCCCCCGTTGCCGCATCTCTTGCGTCGTCCGTTCTGCGCCTTTTGGCCCCCTTTCCCTCATGTTCCAGCCCCTGGTCTTTCACCTATGTTATAAGCGTATGATTGAAATGAGACTCGAATCCCTGCGTCGTCATTGCCTGTGGTTTCCTTCGTTTCCCACCCCGATGTTTTTAGTCTCTCTACCTTCTTCATTTCGTAAAAATCTTCGTAATAGCCGACGCCTCTTGTTCCTCTTTTGAAGACTAGACCTGGCCGAGGACCCTGAAAGCTTTTTGAAGGCTGAAATATTTGGCCTGCCCCTTTGTCTTTCAACACAAATGAAGAGGCCGACGCCCTACAAGGGGTCAGGGAGGAAAGGCGGAGGACGATGTTATAAAGTGAGAGAGCAAATCCAAGACACCAGATAAAACCAATATGCCAACCAGTAACGAACCTTGAGGGCTCCAACATGCGCTGGAAATGGTCGTCCATGGTCCTCCAAGTGATAGTAGGTCTATATGTGACTAGCTGAGACTACGAACGGAGGGGAGGTTGCTGAGGTAGCGACGTGCACAACACGGTTGATATCGCCTGCGCGTTCGTCTGGGGGGTGGAATGATCTGGAGGTTAACACAATCTTGACGAACTTGCACGAACAAAGAGTGCCTTTGAAGCTGCAGATGTTGGTTATTGATCGCTTTGGAAGTGCTGAAAGAAAGTGAAGGGGAGACAAGAGGGCTCTGTGACAGCGATTGCCCTGCCTCACGCGTGTTGCCTTGTTTCTTCGTCGAATGATTCATGAGAGCGGAGTTATAGACCTGTTCTCTTACCGTTCTCAGTTCTAGCAATCCTTATTCATTGACGAACATCGGAAGGAACTTTGCTCACGTAAAGCGGGTATTTATGTGTGAACATTTCCGCTCAACATTTCTTTACCAAGACAACCTTTCCTGTTTTCCTAAGACTTCCATTTCTGTTTATATGCAATCAAATAAGCTAGCTGGAAGCCCGGTCATGTGTAAATGTCAGACATACAGGAAGATAATTTTTTGGCCTTGGCTGGAAGTTAAGCTTTTGATACCAAAGATATGCAGAAGAGTGGTGCTAATCGCGTATGATGAGAATAATGGACTAGAAAAAAGGTTTGGAGGCTTAAGATCGTAAGTTTTGCCCGTGAACTCATGAATGAGCTCCAGGAAAAGCTAGAGTGCTGCTGGCGTGGTGCGCAAGATTTGGGGAGGTGGACAAAGCGGAATTTAAGAGACTGGACACTGATTTGTCTGTCTCTACTATATACAGATTTTCTTAAAGAGGCTGTCGTACCAATGCTATTTCTTTGCCGCTCGTGCGTGCTTTCTTCCCTATTGGACGCGTTTCTATTGGACGGGCGCACAACTACGCGAAAACGACCAGGGCAACGTGATTTCTTCTAACTGCCTTGTCGTAGTCAGGCTTCGTATTCATATAGAAAGGCTGCAATTATTGTCCAGGTCACCTTAAATGGATCTTTTGCGAAACCTCAGGAGAAAACTCGACGACGCTACTGGGTGGCTGAAATTTTGACTTTGGAGTACGATAACACGTCAAGCCAGTCAAAGAGAGGTTGTATCCAATTCAAGTGTCTCATATTATATGTAAATTCGAGCAATTTTAGGCTCAGTCCGTGACGTAATGTCTGCAGGCACGGGCCTTCGAGGGGCTGTCAGAGGGAGAGCGGCGAAACCTTTCGCATACCCGGAGGACAGCCACTTTCCTCGCTCAACGCTTGACATTTGAACGAGACTGCTTCAGCGACCACGGCATCGGCACATAGATTGTGAACAGCGTCGTTTTCTGAGCCATCACTCATTGATCTTGCAATAAGGCACTGCTTGTGCTACGTAGGTGGGTATGATAGAGCGGTTGCCACAGCCAGAAGCACTAAAAGCGGAGGACTGGCCGCCTTTGACGGAAACGACGGAAGCAGCTGCACCTTCTCCTATAGCAGCAGGAGGCACGGAAATTAGGCATCCAAAAGAGGCAGAACTCTTATTATCTCAAGGAGATAGGATAGAGAGGGAGGAAAATACTCAAGAAAATTTTACAAATGGAAAGATAATGGACCAGGAGACCTCGATAGGCCAGGCTGGGCATGTGAAAACACGGGACGATGGAATTGAGATAGAGGATTGCAGCCACGATTTCGCATGTGGTTGCAGCGAAGATGGTGGAAACGACGAGCCACATGGAAAAGACAATTTGAATCTTTCTGACGGCACGGTGGCCCTGTACCCTCACGAAAGATTCCAATACGAGGTCTCGCCCCTGGAGCCTGGCGCACGTCTCCACCATGTAGCAGCGGACATCATCTTCGATCGTTGCCTGACTTACCTCCGAAAGGACGACGGTACTATGTACACGGAGGGGCTTTTCATGCTTCAGCCGTCGATGACACGCGTCAGGGAGCTGCAGCGGCGCATGTCTGTGGGGGGGGGCCTGGAGGGAGCCTCTGCGTGGGGGGCGGAGGGAGCGGAAGGGGAAGAAGAGGGAAGAGCAGGGGGTCGAAATCAAGAAGAGACTGGAAAGGCGTCACCGCCGGTGCCCTCATCGCCACATGAGGTGGCAGCGCTTCTGTTGCAGCATCTCCAAGTGCGACCGGACCCGCTCATCCCCTCCTCGCTCTACGCCGCCTGGCTCGGCTGTCAGAAGGTGCCGGGTGAGTCCGCCCGAGGCGGGCTTGGCTGTAGCGATGGCATGGCACGCCAAGACGGGGTCTCTGTCCACATTCTTGGCCGGGAGGGCGATGCCGCAGAGGCCTCGAGGGAAAGTGCGGCTCCCTCGGAAAGGCGGCCGTTGTCGCCGGTGTCGCCCAACCACGCTTTGAGCGACCCGCACGATGAGGAGGCCGGGGGGAAATGGGGCGATCGGTGGGGGGACGGCGGGAAAGAGAACTCGTGGAGTGCCTTCTATGGAGCGGATGGGGTGGACAAGGAAGTGTGTGAGGTGGAGGTGGCTGCAAGCTGTGCCGCCCGAGGCGCCGGGGAGGACCCTATCCCCCAACCCGCCGGAGCCCCCTCAGGATCGACCGCCCGTGGCGGCGGCGCTTCTCTCCTCCGCGTCAAGTCTGTGCTTTGCGAACTGACGGAGAAGCAGTGGCGCCAGCTGGGAAGCCTTTTGGACTTGATGCACGCCCTGGCCAAGGCACCCACCGGGGGGAGCGACCTCCACGCCCCCACCGTCTCCGCCCTGGGTGCTATCCTCGGTCCCGTCCTGAGTCGGCCGCCCGGCTCCGCCTACCTCTCGATCAGACACACCCGAGACGTGCCCGCGCTCGCCTCCTTGGGGGCCACCGTCGTCGAGCACGCGCCAGAGCTGCTGGCGTGCAGGGGGGAGGGGGAGCAGCTGGGTGGCGGGAGTGAGGCACACGAGGCGGGGCAAGGCGCCAGTGTCGTGGGGGCGGAGGACCGTGCAGAGAGGGAAGCGGAAGAAAGGGGTGCGTCTCCCGTACGAGCCGCTCGGCCTTGGAGCAGTGCCACCGCTTCGAGCCCCGGCCACCGGGACTCACGAGATGGACACGAGAGGGCCCCCCGTGCCCTCTCACCCCCTTGCTCGCCGCCTGTCAGTATCCTTCTCTCCCACGGGGCCCTGCCCTCTTCGTCTCCCCCCTCGGCGACGCCCAGCAGTCCGATGGGCTCCCTTCGAGTCATGGATCATCCCCTCTGCCCCAGCAGAACGCACGGGAAGTAGAGCACCGGCTCCTCCAGCAGGCGGAGCACCTTGATCGTCAGAGGCAACAGGTGGAAGCGGCCAGGGCGGTGCTAACTGAGCGACTGATGCCCGGTCTGAGCAAGAGGCTCTTTTCGGAGAGAACAGAAGATCGCCTCTCCCAGGCTTCTGGCCTCGTTGCGTGCTTCGAGGAAGACAGCTGTCCAAGCCAACATAACTCTATATGCCGTACCCAGAGTGGACGCAGCGCCCAGCTTTCTTCAGAGCAGCAGCTGTTCGGAGCTGAGCGGTCGAATCCTCCCCTTCCTGCCTCGTCGGACACGCCTGCTCCTCCTCCTCCTCTTACCGTGCCCTCTGTACCTTGTTCTCCCCCTCTGATTCCTCATCCGTCATCGCCTGATCTCAAGTGTCTACCGCACGGCCCCCCCGTACCCTTAACTCCTCTTTCTCAACAACTTGACCTGGACCAAGAGACGGGGAAGCAAGCCTTGATAGTCGAAAGCAGCATAAATGGTGGGGAGCACGAGCCACGCTGGAGGGAGGACACCGAGGGCTCCAATGTGTCTACACAGGCACAGACAAGGGGATGGAAGGCAATTGAAAAAAATCGAGCGGTCAAGATCCTGCAGCGGTTGGCGTTGACATTCGTGAGGCGACAGCGAAAGCGGAAACACCTGACAGTCAAGGAGCAAAAAGCAGCGCCTTGCGAGGCTGCCAGGGTGATAGAGGTGGCGCCTGTCCTTGGGGTATCCGAGGCGAGTCTTACTGTGCAAGCGCTAGGTCCATGCTGCGAAGCACGTTCCAGTAGTCCTCTTGCGCATCCTACCAGTGGCGTGAACCAGACATGCAACGCTTTTACACCAGAGGGCGATGCGTGGGAGGCCATGAGGTACTGGAAACCTGCGATCCATACGAAAACTAGCAATCTTGAGGAGAGGAAGCAAGTTATTCCTCCTTTAAAACACTTATTATCAAAAGCAGCTTCCATTCCGTCCTCCTCGGAATTTCAGGCTTTGCTGAGGGAGAAAAAGCGGGTGAAAGCTCGTTTGAAGAAATTCAACGCTGCATTTCTGGAGAATCATGGCCGCCTTCCGAGTATGCACGACAAAGAGCCTATGCGGAGGTTTTACAGGGAGTATAATTTACTAAAACTCCAGATAGCCAAGGCCCTGGAGAAGTATCAAGGCAACCGGCAGGAAGAGTCAAGGGGAAAGGGCGTAGGAGAAACCTCCGGCAGGCCTCGCGACGGGGCTCAGCCCGAAACGCGTGTCGGGGAAAGCAACGAGGAGGCCTCGATGACCTACTGGGGGATAATAACCCCCGGAAAGGACTCTCAGCGCAGCGGCTTGCCTCCTCCAAGCCCTCGGAGAGGAGGCGATCTTCCCATTGTCTACAGTCCGACACGAGGACAACCGAGCACATCCGACAATCTGATAGGGGGAGAGATGGCCTCAATGAACCGTCTTTGCAATCTTTCTCAGAGGTCAGACTCGAATTTATCTGAGGCCTCTGACGTGCAAACTTTGCGGAGAGAAAAAAAGAAGCTTCACGTGGTCCTACGGAAGTTCGAATCATCTTTTCGTGAACAATACGGCAGACGCATTCTCACTGCGAAAGACATAGCGCCTGTTGAAAAGCAGTATGAGCGTTACATACACATTAAAAGCAAGCTGGCGACACTTGCATTGATGGAAAAGAGCGAGGAAATCAGCGAACAGAAGGAAACGATAAAGTCTCGGAATATTCTGAACACTTTCCACGAGTAAATCGCCAACATAACGGCAAATGGCTTTGTCATAGTCATACACATAGAAAAATAATGAAAAACCATTGTTATACATATACTTTACGAGAACTATTTGATAGATGTCCATGTCTATAGATGTCCATGTCTATCGACT